GCCAGCGGGTGTGCGCGAGCGCACCCGGTGGGTGTAGCCCCTGGGTGATTTAGGTAGAATCGCCTGGGGGTGTTGTCAGCGTGCGTGTGCATGTGCACCTTGGTGAGCATGGCCTCCTCTTTCTAGTTTCTGATCCATCGTTGCTAGGAGCGCGGACCCAGGCGTTTGGGCGCGACCGAGGGAGCGGGCGAGACAGAGTCATCAACCAAGGCGTTGGGTGCGCCGTGGGTTCAGGCGAGTTGGAGTCGTGGATCCAGGGATTGGGCGAGACAGAGTCACCAACCAAGGTATCGGGCGCAGGCATCGGGCGGAGCCGAGGGACAGCTGAGGGATTGAGCGAGACGGACTCGCGGATCCAGGCGTCGGGCGCAGCCGTGGGATCGGGCGAGATGGACTTGCGGACCCAGGCGTCGGACGCAACCGAGCGATCGGGCGAATTGGAGTCACGGATCCAGGCGTCGGGTGCAGCCGTCGGGCGTGCCGAGGGGTTGGGCGTCTCGAGCCCCTAAGCCCCGTTGGGCTTGGTAGGGGTCGATTGAGTTTTGTGCGTTACCCCATCCGCAGTTTCTGCAACTAGAGGGGCTGAGCTAGCGTCACTTGCATCGATGGCTCGAGTGACGCGCTCGGTGAGCTCGCTAACGGGTACATTCGAGTGAAATCCGGGTTCGTCATTCGTGACAGGGTCGGCATAGCCCTCATGTGGCATTCCACTGCTCCTTAACCCACGTCCCGGCAGATGCCCGGGTTGTTTTGGAGACCGACCCAGGTGGCCCGCTGGCCTCCCCTCGATGAAGATTCTGTGGGCATGGCTCGAGGTTAAGATCGAACGAGAAGGTTGAGATGACCTTGTCTGCTTCTGAGCATATCGGGCGAGGGTCGCTGGGGCTCATCTGCGTTTTCTCCCCTGGCTCTGTTTGACGCGAGGTAGCCTCAAGCCCTTCGCTTGCCGGCCTTCGAACCCCGGTCGGTCGTTGCTCATGTTGAATGAGGTAATTACCGCTTCGTGACGCAACACGAAGCGTTGTGATGCATCAATTGCATATGCGATGCTTTGGATGCATGGGATGAATGAATGAATGAATGAATGCGTGCATGGATGAATGTGTGAATGCGTAGATGAGAAATGATGAATGAATGATCATGTAAATAAATGAAATAGAAGGTTTCGGTAAAGTTACCTTGATGACTCGAGTGACGGGTTTGAGGAGCTCTTTGTCGGATGTGTCCGACCGGGATCCGTGTCCACCGTTCGTGACGGAGTTAGCTTGGCCACATGGGGCGTCCCTCTGCTCCTTACCTGTCTCTCGGTGTTCGCCTGAGCTGTTCGATCGACTCAGGAAGCCCGTTGGTCTCTCCTAGGCGGAGATCCCATTGTTGGCCCTTCCAAGTCTTGTCTGGGAAGGCGGAGGGCCGCCTGCATGCGGTTGCGCCTTGTTTCCCACGCCCGACGTGCGGTAGTGGTGGGCCGTTCCCAGGCCACGTCCCGTCTGACCAGGCGTCGTCTCGTCGAGCAGGGCACGTCCCATCGGTCAGGACGCGTGCCACCGTATGCCTATCCGTGTTGGGCAGGGCGAGTCCCATCAGTCAGGGCACACCCCTTCGCATGCCTATGTGTATTAAATGGGGAAGGGAGAGGGTTTTCACCCCAATCCTTCACCTTTCTCCAACCGATGTGTCTCCTCTTTAAATAGGGAAGGGAGAGGGGTTTTGTCCCATTCCTTCGCCTATTCTCCAACTGCCACCTCTCCTCCTTATTCCTTCTCGCCAAGTGCGTTCGTGTGCCGCGACGGTTCCTAGGAGAGAGAGTAAAGCGAGGGAGAGGAAAACTCACAGATGCGTTCGTTAATCTAGAGTGTGATGTCGAGCTGGAGTCATCCAGTGTAAGTGAGTTGGTGTTGGCATTCAGCTGTTCGATGTTCCAAGTGTTGGTGAGAACGTTGCCGTTATCGTCCTTTAGTCGGTAGGTGCCCGGTCGGATCACTTTGGTCACCGTGTAGGGTCCTTCCCATGGCGGAGAGAGTTTATGTTTCTCCTTGGTTGATTGGGTCCTTCGAAGCATGAGGTCTCCAATCTCGAGGATCCTTCCTCTGATTTTCCTCTCATGGTACTTGTGGAGAGTCTGCTGGTAGCGAGTGGAGCGGATGACGGTCGTCTCGCGGGCCTCCTCGAGCAGGTCGACTGTGTCTTGCTGAGCCTCCGTGGCTCAGTCACGGTCGAAGGCCTTCACTCTTGGAGCGCTGTGGTCGAGGTCGGAGGGCAGCACTGCTTCAGCTCCGTAGGCCAGGAAGAAGGGTGTGAACCCTGTGGATCGGTTTGGGGTCGTTCTCAGGCTCCGGAGGATCGCTGGGACCTCTGCAACCCATCGTCCGACGTACTTATTGAGTCGGTCGAAGATGCATGGCTTAAGTCCTTGGAGGACCATGCCATTGTCATGCTTGACCTGACCGTTAGTACGTGGATGTCCGACCGAGGCCCAGTCGATCCTGATGCCGTATCCATCACTGAAGTCCAGGAACTTTTTTCCGGTGAAGTTAGTTCCGTTGTCAGTGATGATACAGTTAGGAACGCCGAACCGATAGATGATGTCGAGGAAGAACTTGACTATCTCTTCGGAGCGGATGTTGGTGATGGGCTTGGCCTCTATCCACTTGGTGAATTTATCGACCGCTAAGAGGAGGTGAGTGAAGTTGCCTAGGCCCTTTTTAAGGGGTCCTACCATGTTGAGGAACCAGACCGTGAATGACTAGGTGATGGGGATAGTTTGAAGCTCCTATGCCGGCAAATGAGTTTGCCGAGCGTAGAACTGGCATTCCAGACACCTACGGACGACCTCCTCTGCATCTCGTGGCGCGGTGGGCCAGTAAAAACCTTGACGAAAGGTTTTTCCGACTAGCGACCTTGGGGCCGCGTGATGTCCGTAGATTCCAGCATGGACCTCGAGGAGGAGCTGTTTCCCTTGGTTGGTAGGGACGCACTTCATGTGTACCCCCGTTGGACTTCGTTTGTAAAGTTCGTCCCGAGTGCGACGAACGTCTCGGCTCCGACTGCGTCGGTTGGAGAAGAGCTGTAAGCAGAGGTTCGGTGTATCCCGGTCGGAGACGAGGGTCGGAGTTAGAAGTGAGCGTCGCCACCTCCTTGGCCAGGCCTTCCGGTCGGAGAGGCGGGTCGGAGTTGGAAGCAAGCGTCGTCCCTCCTTGGCCAGGCCTTCCGGTCGGAGAGGCCGGGCCGGAGTCGGAAGCGAGCGTCGTTCCTCCTTGGCCAGGCCTTCCAGTCGGAGAGGCGGGCCGGAGTCGGAAGCGAGCGTCGTTCCTCCTTGGCCAGGCCTTCCAGTCGGAGATCGGATCGCCCTTATGGCCTGTCGTTAGTATTTGGGCCGGCCCAGAAGTTGCACGTCGTTCGCAACGTCGTCTGCTGGGCCGAGCTTTTGCTGGAGAGCAGGTCCATTAGGGACCCTGGGTTTATGAACCCGACAGTTCATTTAAACTAGGTTCTTGTGGAGAGAGGTAATCGTACGGTGCTGGCCTTAGTCCACCCTGTAATGTTGAAAACTTATTTAATAATTGGTACCTCGTGAGAGAAAAAAAACTATATCTTTTTATTAATAGGTGCAACAGTAACCTTTTGGTCTATTCGACTAACGAGGAACAAAATTGTTTTTTAACAAATGTCGACTTAAAACTCCCTTGTATGTTTTTGCTCATGGGACCATATTGGCTTTCGTTCTAGGTCTAGTTGCAAAAGGAGTTGTTGCTGAAGACATGCTGAAAACCGAAGAATGCTACAACGTGGTCTCTGCATCCTTCTTTTATTTCATAATTGAGTTATGGGTTGGTTTTGTAAACTTGATTCAGTCAAATTGGTCTGATAGCTCTCTGGAGGAGGATGCCGGCCGGTTGTTATTCTATTAATAATAAAAATAATAGGGAGTGTCAAGAGGACTAGGGCAGGCAGACCGCCGCTTGTTGAGTTGCTCGACCCTGATTCCCCGCTATGGAAAGCGCATGTGATCCCTCTCTAAGCTATTTGTGCAATTGTACTGGTACTAATAGTACGCTTTCACTGTCACAGTTTTATTAGGTTTTGTCCCATGATTATCCAACGAAATAGGCATCTAGGCTGATGTTTTTTAAAACAAAATAATGAAGGCATGTGCAGATGACCAACTGACCATAGTTTAATTGAGTTCGGAACTGCTAATATGTTGAGCCGTTTGTCGGAACATAAAATGCGGCATAGGGCCACAATAGCGATTAACGGCAACCACAGTAGACGTATTACTTTATATATAGATACTGTGACAATAGACTGATGGGGCTTTGTATATTGTATATAGAAGCTCAGTTGTTTCTGTACTGCCATGCGCAACAAGACAAGGTGTGTGTTAGTTAATGGTCCCATGCTACAGCTTGTCGAGCTAAGCTACTGTAGTAATAAAATGGTAGACTGGCATTGGCAATTTGCTAGCACATGCTATTTCAGCAGCATGATGATTGTTCATGTACTCCAATTGTTCAGTTAGTTCCATTGTGGTAGGTGACCAATATAACACACGGCCGGGTATACTGGCATCAAACTTTTTTTTTTTGCCAGAGGGATTCAGACATTCATTCAGTACTAAACGATATACAGAGAAATAAAAAAAAATAACACAAGGATTAGTAACACAAGTCGTGACATACAGACATCGTTGTATTTGACCATGTGATTATGTGAACACACCAAACCTTATATATCTAAAAAAATGTGAACACACACCAGTGCTGAATGTTTTCAGAAAGGGGTTAAGAAAAGAACAGGAGAACAAACATTGTTACATCTTATTTATGTTTCAAAAGAGGGATTAAGCGGACCGCAAAATCCCAAGCACTTGCCAAAAATCGGCACACGGCAATTAAGTAGTCCAAACCAAATTGTTTCAGACTTCGTAATAAAGTACGCAGACGTGCACCAAAACCTTCTGAAATGCCCATCTACCCCCTCGGATGATGAACGATCAGTCATCAGCATTTTGGAAGATCGGATGGCGGGGGCAACATTTTCTGATTCGGCAGCGGGCCGTCGTTGACAAGCCACGCCATGGACAGGCCCCAGCTCAGGTGCACGTCGAAGTGGCAATGCATCAGCCACACGCCTGCCAGACGACGCAACCAAGTCAACCAAAGTCAACACAGGCAGAGCATGCATGTCGGTCGGGTCGTCGACAGGCGTAAAGATGATTACCCGGGTTGTCGGCGAGGAAGCGGACGGCGACCCAGCCGGCGGTGGGCACGCTGATGGTGTTCCGCTCCACGGGGTCGGCGAGGTTGTACTTGGGCGGGTCGTTCACCGGGTCGAAGTTGCCGAACCCCTGGCCGACGACGAAGAAGTCGTAGCCGTGCAAGTGCAGCGGGTGGCTCTCGGCGCCCTGGATGCTGGTGCCCTGCAGCACCAGCTCCACGGAGGTGTTGAAGCAGAGCGGCACCACCCGCGTGCCGTGCTGCACGAACGTGTTGTTGGGCGGGGTGCCCGTGTAGTTGAACGGGTGCGGCGGGGTGGTGGGGAAGTCGGCGAGGAGCACGCCGGCGTAGCGGCGCCTGTAGTGCGCCTCCAGGAGCGCGGTCCGGGGCCGGAAGAAGGAGTTGTTGTTGATGGACGCCGCGAACTTGGAGCCGTTGGGGCCCTGGCACGTCTGGTTGGACGGGCACGGGTCCGTGCCGAGCCCGACGGTGAAGAGCAGGTGCCGGTCCACCGCCGCCGGCACGCGTGCCGGGTACCGCGCGCTGTTCAGGCTGCGGAAGTTGAGCGAGAAGTTGGCCACGGCGCCAGTGTCGTTGTACAGCGGCAGGCCCGGCAGGGGTAGGTTGCTGGTGGCGGCGACGGGCGTCGGGCCGTCGTACTCGAGGACGGCCGTGGCGGTGGTGTTGTCGAACGCGCCCTGCGTGTTGGTGTAGGGCGCGACCGCCATTGCGTAGGCCGGGGAGGCGGGGTTTGGGGGCGTCGTCAGGAGCACGTTCATGGTCTGCCCCGGCGAGATGACGAGCGTGTTCACGGTGAATGGCTTGACGTAGTTGGCGTCCGCCTCGACGACGGTGAGCGTGTGGTTGGCGATGCCGAAGAAGAGCTCGTCGTTGAGGGCGGAGTTGATGAGCCGGAGCATGTACGTCCTCCCGGGCTTTACCTTCAGCTTGTACGTGTCTGTTTTGATCCAAAAATCACAAATCCAAGCTTCCTTGATCTTCATCCCATTTTATTTTTGTAACAATTTGTGTAAATAAAGTATAAGCAATGGGCCTAATTTAGTCCTTCTGAAGAAAGGAAATGTACCTTTAGACGAGCAGTTATATGTCGGGCCTGGAAGACCATTGAAGGTGTAGGCATCGGAGACGTTTGGGCCGCCGCCAGTTTGCAGGGCCTGGTTGATGACGGCCTCCGTGTCCGCATTGAACCATTCACCTGCAATAAATTTTCAAGCATAAAGCGTCATCGCATTGCCAAAAGGTGAGCGATTGATAGAAGAGACGGCCAGCGGGCAGAGGCATTACCGAAGAGGATGGGCACCTCCTTGTAGGGGCGCGGGAACGGGTAGCCCTCGCCGCGCTTGGGGAGGATGACGAGCGGGCCGTAGAGGTGCACGCGCAGCCAGGAGAAGTGCGCGTGCCACCACAGCGTGCCGCGCTGCCCCGTGATGGTGAAGTCGTACACGTAGCTCTGCCCGCCCTGGATCGGGCACTGCGTGATGTACGCCGGCCCGTCCGCCCACCCGTTGCGCAGCTGCTGGACGCCGTGCCTGCATGCACGCGGGTGAGACGCCGGCCGGCAGAGGGCAGGGAGTTGAACGCGCGAACGAACCGGCGCGAGTGCTGTCGTCGTCCTGATATGATCGATCTTGCTTACCAGTGGAACGAGACATTGTAGTTGATGTGGTTGTGAACCTTGACCACGAGTCGGTCACCTTCCCGCACGACCAGCTTCGGCCCCGGGAACTGCCCGTTCACCGTCGGGATGCTCTTGGTCACGCACAGCCGTGTCACGTTCGTCATTTGCACCTGCAGCACAAATCAAAGCCACGCATGAGAGTACGTGGCACGCACCAATACTAGTGCGAGCATTATATTATATTCGAGAAATGCTCGTGCGCGAAAGTTGTACTTTGAACGTGTAGTAATGGGTGTCGGCGGCTGCGAGGCCCGGCAAGGCGAGGAGGACGGCGAAGGCGATGAGGAAGGGACATGCGGAGAAGGCGGCGGCGGCGGCTTGGCCGCCTCGCCGGAGGCCATGACGCGCGCCCATTGTCTGATCGATGACAACCGCTCTGCCCTTGTTGTGTGTTTGCGCTTTGAAGCAAGTGAAAGTGGTGCACTTCGCTATGGAATGACTAATGAGTGCTGGGTTCTATATAGGCGCATGATGGCCGCCGACCGGGTTCGTGGCCTGCATGGTAAGAGGTCACAGCACGGTGGTGGTTGGCCTAGTTGGTGGAAGCAAATAGAAAAACTTGTCCTTGGGCCACTCGTTGCTCCTTCTTTAGGCTTTAGCTCTCCCTCGTCCCTTCTCAAGGCGCTGTATGTCATGCGAAAACCTACTGTAGCATGTACATGCTCAACTGAGCTGTTCGGCTGATGGTTTTTTACGGCTGATACTACTTTGTTATGAGAGAAAAACACTATACCATGACATGTTCTATCTTCACCGTTGAATACTGCTTTGAGATTCGTGATGCTTACTCTCCCTAATGCATCACACTACTCTCCCCAATGCTTCACACTACTGATTGAGAAGGCACGTATCTCGATGAGGTGTTTGGATGGTGAGGATATCACATACTCAGCATGTATGCACCGGCATGTGGGTTTGGTTGAGTGAACCCTCTCCATATTCCCCGTTTAGTTGTTACTATGAGCAGCGATGGGAAATCAAGGAGGCAGATTGACTTGTCCGTGTATACAAAGTTGTTGGGTAAAAACAAGTGATTTCAGTGAATTACTAGTTTAATACTGTAGTTCCAAACAGGGGCAAAGCTAGGATTTAGAGCAAAGGTGATCCATCTAGATGTAATAGGGTGTTCGCTATGCCATCTTCATGATATTAGACAACATATCACTTGAGGCCGTTCGGAGTGCTCCTAGCTCTAGATTCTCCGTGAGAATTGCTCCTAGAGATAGCCAAACGAGTAAGCGCAAGTTGATTTTAGTGAGAATAAAACAAAAAAAAATCGCTTCTCCATTTACATTGAGAACATAAAGTTTTGTAAGAATTCAAGTCTTGTTTGTGTTATCTTTTGTAGCAAAAGTTCATTTTTCCTAGTAATAAACTAGCGTTATGTGATGTTTTCAATGATTATATGATGGCATCTCTACTACTCTCTTTGTTTTTTTACATGATGTGTTAGTTCAAACATTTCTATCTTTGATCATTATTTTTAAAAGATATATAAATTGACAATATAAGATTAATGCTTTTAGATTCACTATAAGTACTTTTATAATTATATAATTCACATGTTACGAAACTATATGTTTTTTAATTTAATTGACAGTCAAATTGGAACCTAATATGATATGAAAAAAAAGGAAGGAGTGATCACTGGTAACAGATAATAAATGAACTCGTGAAGAGTTATGTACTCCCGGTTCATTTTTCACCAATGAAGCTATAAAATTACTACTCCATCCGTTCCAAATTATAAGTTGCTTTGACTTTTTTTACATCCATTTTGCTATGCATCTAGATATAATATATGTCTAGATATGTAGCCAAATGGATGAAAAAAAGTCAAAACGACTTATAATTTGGAACGGAGTGAGTATTTATGACGCTGCATGGAGGAAGCCTAACTATTTCAGACAAGAAATCATTCCAAGAAGGTGAAATATCAATTCTAACTGGAACATATGGAGCACTCGCTTTAAGTTGACCTTTTTCAGTCAGCTTGCAATAAACTCCATATGACACATTTCTTATCAAAGATCGGCTCCCACTGTTTACCCTTCTGCGTGCACCTTTATTTTGCCGACTTCTTTGTGTTTTGTGAGCCTTTGAAGCTAACCATGGCCCCTCTGCGTCAATCTTATATACGTGCATGCCTTTTTGCCTTTTCTTCGTTGTGATTTGGAGCTTCTTTAATAAGACCAGCGTCTGAACACAAAACAACATAGCCAAACAGTGCCGTACGTTGCTTGGAACTGTATGTGTTTGTTGAAGTGGAGCTGGCGGATGGATTTTATCCAATGATCTACCTGAAGCACAATCTGATTGGCTAAGCAATCTGCCGGGCCCCCTCTCTCTATCTCTCGCTCTCCCTCATGTATTTACAGTGAAGTGACTGTCCTGCCGCCATATCATCATATATTTAGTTCTAGTCCAACCAAACGGATGGGCTAAAAGGCAGAATAATTTTTAGTCTAACTGAACTAGTTAGTTCCTCTCAATAGCATATGTATCCGAACAACACATGACTCAATGCAACTTTAATCGACTAAACTTGTTATCCTGATGATCCAAACAAACTCTAGATTTTGTGGTTACCTAACACAACCACCTAAAAATTAACAGATTGTGTTGGGCTTCGTCACCTAGGGAAGCCCTGATGGTCATGGACCAATAGAGAGCTGAGCGAGCGTGCAATACAGTTGATGAGTTGAATGAGCACAACATCCATGTTTGAGGTGTGCTAACCTGATGAAAAGTTAAGCTATAAGATATTATAACTCTAAAAAACAATAACTAATTCAAGTATCACGCTGGCCAGCTGAGTTATGCAGTTAGGCATTGTACCTTATGCAGCACAACCCTAAACAATATAAACATATGCAATGTCTTAGTGTTTAGTTGTCGTACACAGATAGGTCCTGCTCGTTTCGCTGAAATTTGGCTTATGCTGATTTGTTGTGAGAGGAAAACGTTGTTCGTTCGCTGAAAAATATTGCTGAAGTAGTACTGCATTGGTGACATTTAATTTGGTTGCTTACGAGACGGGCATCGTTGAGCCCGACCCGTTGACGCTCACGCTGTACCCAGGCGCCACACATGCTCGCGACATCTCGAAGGACCCGATGGTTGAGGAGTTCACAGCCTCGCTCGTCGGCAGTCGGATTGTCGCGTGGCCTTCCCTTGAGCGCCTCCGGTCACCTTCGGCGCCCCCTAGCTACAGGATGAGGTCTCGGCGGTGGCGGCCCTCCAGCTGGAGGATGTGGACCCGGCGGTGGTCTCCTGTGAGTTGCGGACACCACCCCCGTGCCCCATTCTGTGGGCAACGGACTCGTCGATGGCATACACGGTCGACCCAACGGTGGATGCTGGCTCTCCCAGTTCACCACCGGGACCAGGCTATGGACAACAACGCCTCCGCCAAACGCTGCCTCAATAGCTTCATCAACAATGTCACGCGTAAGAGGGACTCTCTGCTGATTTGCGAGCCTCCCACCTGCTAAGCCGGTGCTGCCGTGGCGGAGCAGGCGGTTGGCGGCTCAGAGCCTCTCCCGAGTGTCTGCTTCCAAGCGAGGTAAGGTGTTGATCATGCAGCGTATGGGCCACACCAAGGGTCCATCAGCGCCATCCGTTTCGAAGTTGGAGGCCTTTGACAAGCTCTTCGACGGACGACGGCAACCTGATTGTGTCCGAAGCCGAGACACTGGACGAGCTCTTCCCGGCCGTTGGAAAGGCCCCGTTTAGGCATGCGCGAAGATGCAAGGCCACCTCCCAAGTCACAAAGCTGCGTTGATATTGGTTGTTTCCCTTTATGTAATATCGAAACAAGAGGTCTTCTAGGATGGTCCAGCTTCGGCTGTGTTAAGTCGATCTCCTTCGGCGCTCGATAGAAGCGTGGTGTATGTTTGCTTAAACTCTTCTCCTTAATATAATGATGCGCAAATCTTTTGCGTATTCGAGAGAAAAAAAACATCACGTTGCTTATAGTCAGCTACATGTTCGTAGAACGTCTAATGTTCTAGCAGAGAGAGGGGAGGTAAAAGGATTTCATTTTGTGTGCCATCGGCGTATGCAAATATTTGCATAATAGGATCAAATCTACTGTATTAAGTAATATTGTATTATATCTTTTTTGAGCACTACGTAAGCTTTCTATAAAAGTCTCTATAGACAACTAGACACCGGTAAACTGCGGTGTACAACAGTACAAGTCAAAATATAATCTAATGCAGGTGACTAGGCGGATCTATAATTCTATATACATACACTTGGTTGTTAGTTGTAAAAATAAGCATTCCTGTGCTTGGGTCCGGCAACAGAGCAGGCATTGTGGGACAGAGCCTCAGCCGGTTTGGCATTTGAGGCTTCCATCCAATCTAGCTACTTTGTTAACAGGCCATGCTCGCCCTAATATATTTTTTGATATAGGGTCCTTCGAGTAGTCGAGTCTTGAACAACGTACTTTGGAATCAAAATTTTCCTAAAGAGAACAACCATTAGGTGCTTGAGTTTTGTTGGGAGGTAAGTCAAATTTTGCCCATCAAATCAACAACTAGCAGCTGCATCACATGCAATTCCAACCACATATAATTTGCATAAGAATAAGTTGTCTGTGGATTCAAGGTATTGGCCACCTGATGATTAGCATTTAGCAAGACCAACAAGCCCTTTGCTGAGTATTTTGATCTGTACTTTTGTGCAGGCTATATTACAGGCCGACGTACATTGTCGGTGATTTGAGCAGCAGTCAGTACCTGGATGTAAAATAAAAGTATGTTTTTTTAACTCAAAAATAAATTATGTTTTAACTGAAGGAGCTTGATTTCTTAAATGAAAATACTTCTTCCTCGGTGACAGCATAAAGCCAAGTTGTCTATAAAGGTCATGTTCGCTTGTCTTATAAGTCATACTATTTTAGCAAATGAACCGTATTTTTCTCTCGTAACAAATTAGCGAACAGTACTTTCAGTCATGGCTTTTCAGCAAAGCGAACAAGGCCAAAGTTATTTAGCTGATCACATGTAAATGGAAATGTGAGCATCAGCCTCTTATTGCTTCTCCATTTGTTGTTGGTGGTCTGCCTTGTCTCTTCGTATTGCGGTCAAGTTCAAAAAGGTATGGAATTTAAATTCTAGATGACTGTTTTTTTAGAAAAAGGTGAAAAAAAAAAACACAGTCGACTTGGTGCAGAAAACATTCTGACATTGCGAGGACACAGAAGTACAGAACCATCCAGGACCAGGAACTTGTCAGGCATCGTTTGTTGTCCCTTGAATATAAAGCAAGTAAAAAAGCATGATCCATTTAGACGAATAAAAAACCAGAGAGAATGCAACGACTTGCCTCCGACTCCGATTGTGCAT